TGCGCAGACTTTGACAGGGTGGACAGAACACCTGCTCATTTTCGATTTTATGTCAATTCTGAGCATGTGAAGTTGTCCTTTTGGATGTCCTTCACCTCTGTCATCATCCTATCTCGAGTTGTTTCCCTCTGCTTCCTATTCCAACTTGCCGGTGGACACGGATTATCTTGACTCGTTTACTTATCATTGGTGAATTTTGAATGCACGAAATGTGACACCTCTGCTCGTTCCCATTTCTCATATATACGTTAATGTGAATGCACTATGAACGCACTGAAAGAACTCAATCCATTCTTCGATGACTATGGTAATCCTACTGCATAATTCTTGGACTTTATTGCCACGGAAATGTGCTCTCCATTGCCATGTGGACCTACAACTTCTTGTCACCCATGATGTTCATGCCACGCTGTGGAACCTTTCGTTTATATCTTACCTGCTTCGCCTTTCTCCATTAACTATTCATTGTCCTGTCTTCAAATGTCAATGCAACCGGCAACAATATTCAGTACAACTAAAACATGCGGGCGAAGCCGCGCTGGCCACATCTTGTGTCCTATTAATTTTCATTTCCAAGCGGGACTTGATTAACACAATTGCCTAAAGAGTAATGGAGGCACGTGAAGGAAGGCTCAAGCTAGCGCAAAGCTCAGCTGTAGAGCGTAATGGTCAGAGCCTGCCTGAGTGTGAAACCTACAAGTCGAACAGAGACGGAAATCGTCCATAGTGATCCTGGGCCCCCATGTGGAAGCGCTCTCGCTTGACGGATCAAACTTACGCTAGGGATAACAGGCTGATGACCTCCAAGAGCTCATATCCACAAAGTCGTATGACCCCTCATCATCTTGCATGAACCGATGTTAACAGAATTGAAAGCACTGGAGTAGATAGCATAGTTCCAATAGGTCGTGGTGAACGATAACTTTTTGGTGGAAATAGACAAGCAGGTAAGACTGCTATAGACATTGATGATGCTCTATTGAATCAGAAAAGCAGATCAATCAATGAAAAAGCTGCCTCTGAGAAAGAAAAGCTGTATTGTGTGCACGTAGCAATTGGTCAGAAGCATTCGACCGTAGCACAATTACTGAAAAAAAAATAAAAATATTTCAGGAGCAGGTGCTTTAGAATATTCAATATTCCATTGTTGTGGCACCCACTGCATAGGAAATCGCATTGTCGGGTTCTTCTGCGTCCAGTGTCTGACAACTGAGAGCTTTGTGTTTTTTAATGTTTTTCCTTTTTGTTTTCCGAACTGGGGTACCCCTTTAACAGTTATATGTGACTGCTGAAGGGGTACGGCCCTTTAGCAGCTACATGTGTCTAGCATTC